TGTCTAGTATAAGATTTCTCAAAATTATGATAGAACATAGAGTTCTAAAGCCTTTGGTAAGTATACGTTTAACCTACAGGTAACTTGTGTGGTATGGCAGTGTGAGGTAATCTGGAGTAGGAAAGAACAAGTAAATAAAGTGAGCCGATGACTCAGTAAGCACAGAGAATAGTTCACTTACTTTCATTCAGTAGAGAAAGCAATCGATAGCAATCAGAAATAAAACATGCACCTGATCAAGATAAATTGATAATCGAAACTAGAGGTTAGTAGAGTAAGGTTTCAAATGTGCTACGCTTTATAATGGGCACTTATTGATCTACCATGTAATTACTTATATTTCAAGCTTGAATCAGTATGTGTTCAAAAGTGACAACCATCTACCATAAATGATGATATCAGTTACACTTTAGACATATTTGAACTTTACTGAACTTCATAGTTTCACACTCCGTTAATTTTTTCTAGAAATAATTCACTGTTCATCATATGTTTACGAGCACATGAAGTCTCTGTATACTGTATATCATGGTCGAGGATATACATTGCAAACCGAATAACTCATCCGAGTCTTCGATAGTGATTTCACTTGTTTTATGAAACCTTTACAACTCCACCCAGAGCCCTTCTACGGTTACTGCCAGCCACAAGCTCGGATAAAGGAGGAGGGTTGTGCATGGAGTTAATGACCCCATCCGGTAGAAATCCGAATCACTAAAAATACGCTAGCCAGGAAAATTAAATCGGTGGTCGGTAGCCTATGCTTTATTTGGGGTAACAGACGTAAGTAAGTAAGTAAGTAAGTAAGTAAGTAAGTAAGTGCATAAGTAAGTAAGTAAGTAAGTAAGTAATTAAGTGCATAAATAAGTAAGTAAGTAAGTAAGTAAGTAAGTAAGTAAGTAAGTAAGTAAGTAAGTAAGTGCATAAGTAAGTAAGTAATTGCATAAGTAAGTAAGTAAGTAAGTAAGTAAGTAAGTAAGTGCATAAGTAAGTAAGTAAGGAAGTAAGTAAGTAAGTAAGTAAGCTTACTTAACCAGAGAATTAATGTTATTCTTCTGCTCAAGTCTTTGTTCTTTCTCTCTTCAAGATAATAAAAGGAACTAAATATGTAGGAAAGATATTCATCGGGTTTTATTCGAATATTCAGTAATATTTCAAATGAATATAATATTATTCTTTCAATTAGATGTATGGATATCAGTGTTTTTTACACATTGAAGTGATCAGTCAATATGATCACTAGCGAATAAACTTCCTGAGGAAATTCTCGGAGTTCTATTGAAAAGACGTGACCAGTGCATTTCAACCCTAACAGCTGCAGGCAGAAGACAATTAATGAGGTCATACGAAATCCCTAGACTGATCAGAATTAGACATTAAAGCCATTGGATGCCAGCTCAGTGGTACTGATGTTACGTGTTCATGTGGAAAACCCGAGGTCTTAGGTTCGAATTCTGCGAGCAGTAGGAGTCATGAATGCGCACTGCGGCTGATGAGTCCTATTCCAGGACGAAACGGTCGTCTTTCAGTGCTTCTATAAATGTTAGAATCAATGTTTTCTAATAAGAAGTAGGTTAAACACTTGGGAAATTAAACCTTGAACTAATATTGATTTAAAATCGTTTAAATAAAGCGCAAATAAGTGTTTAACTGTTTTTTTTTTCAAAAAAAACAAACAATTAATCCCTTCCAATAATTGAACAGTGAAGATTATATATTTAAAAAATGAATAACGAAAGATAAACAAAGGTTATGTCAAATACAAGCAAAAAATTAGTTAACATTGTTTATTATGCTTAATTCGGTCAAGAAAGAGATTATGGTGTTATAAATTTCTTATGAATACAAAGGCTTGTCTGGTTAACTCGGAACTCTGTAGCTTCTTTAATATTGAATCCTATAAGCAAAACGTGATAAGTACTTGCTTGATTAATTACTCAAAATGTGTTTTTATTCCATTTTGCTGCATGACCTCTATCGAACAAATATGATTGAATGGAGTAGTGTATTTATTTCAGTCACACCCTTTTTCAGCCATGAAGAGGGGTGTTTATCAACTCACTAACTGTACAATTCATATAGCTTATCGTACTACAGAAGCAACTGAATTCGCAGATATACATGGATATGACAATGTCCGATTATGAAACATTGAATCGAGCATTTAGTATTTTTATGACAATGAATGCAGGAGTCTTGGGTGCGCACTGCTGAGGAGTCCCATACCAGGACGAAACGGCCGTCCAGTGCTTCCAGGTTTCTTCCAATGGTGGTCTAACATTGGTCGATTCATGGTTTCAAAAATGTGTAATTTAATAATTTTCACAACCCCGTAATGCAAATTACATATGCTCACTAGTGACTAGCTTCGTGAGGAATCTTCTCCGAGTTCTAGTGGGAAGACGTGACCAGTGAAGTTCAACTTGTTTGGGTGTAGGCAGTGTCTACCGAAGACTGGTATGAGGTTGTGCGACTCCGTGAATTCGATCAAGTTAGGCATTAACACCGTTAGATACGGGCTCAGTGGTCTAATGGTTAGGTCGTTCGCGCAGAATGCCGAAGGTCCTGTGTTCGGATCCTGTGGGGTGCAGGAGTCGTGGATGCGCACTGCTGAGGAATCCCATACCGGGACGAAACGGCCGTCCAGTGCTTCCAGGTTTCTAATGGTGGCCTAACATTGATCGATTCATGGTGTCACAAATGAGTACACCTGTCATCACACTACCAATATATGTCACTAATGATATTCGGTTCTAATCTCTATGACATTGTTATCATTGACTTATAAATTGCCTTCATTGAGTTTAATATCTTCATGTATCCACTTAAATATTACTGAATTTTAGAAGAAAACCCAATAAGAATCTAGTTAAATAACAGTACTGTTCATATTTAAAACTGGATGAAGAAAAAGTCTTGACTTGACCAAATCATAAAGTCATGTCAAATTTGGTTTTAAGTAAGTCATGAATGATAGGATCGCATAATTATTTCAATATTTTTCAGTTTTTAGGGAAGATAAATATGAAAATTATTTTAGATTGATCATAGTTAAACATTAACAAGGTTAGATGCCACCGTCCCGATGTTCTAGAATGAAGGTCCTGGGTTCGAATCCTTTGAGTAAGTAGTAAGAGTCACGCATGCGATATGTTAAAACAATAACAATTCATACTTACTTACTTTCTTACGCCTGTTACCCCCAATGGAGCGTAGACCGCCCACCAGTTTTCTCCAGCCAACTTTGTCCTGGGCTTCCCTCTCCAGTTCTGTCCAATGTTTGTTCATTCCTTTCATATCTTTCTCTATTTCTCGGCGTAATGTGTTCCTTGGCCTTCCTCTTTTCCTTTTGCCTTGAGGGTTCCATGTGAGGGCTTGTCTCGCGACGCAGTCGGATGCTTTTTGTAGTGTATGTCCTATCCACTTCCACCGCTTCTTCCTGATTTCCTCCTCCACCGGAATCTGGTTTGTTTTCTCCCACGGTAAGTTGTTGCTGATTGTGTCTGGCCAACGAATACGAAGTATTTTGCGTAGACAACTGTTAATAAACACTTATATCTTCTGGATTATGGCTTTCGTAGTTCTCCAAGTTTCCACTCCATACAGTAGAACTGTCTTGACATTTTTATTGAAAACCGTGATTTTGGTTTTGGTTGAAAGTTGTTTGGAGTTCCAGATATTTTTCAACTGTAGAAATGCAGCCCTTGCTTTGCCAATCCGTGCCCTCACATTTGCATCGGATCCACCTTTCTTGTCGATGATTCTGCCCAGATATGTAAAGGTGTTAACGTCCTCCAATGCATCTCCATCAAGAGTGATTTGGTTGGTGCATGTTGTGTTGCATTGGAAAATTTTGCTTTTTCAATAACAATTCATAATGTCTGATTATTTATATTAAAACTTATTTATTGTTTCATGATTTGATTTTTAGCTCCTTTCGAAAATTAAGTCTTTCACAGTGAAAAAGTTAGAATGTTCCCCCTTGATTTACATTTCATTTTTATCTGTATGTTTTTTGATTAATTGGCTTAAGCTAAAAGATTATTTTACTTAAAGCATTCACTGTATGTTACAAACTAGTTGAAGATGACAGTTTAAACTATCCCGTGTCAGTCAACTCAATGATTCACAATTATTTTTGTTCGTCAAAAGATCCTGCTTATACTGCGTTTAATCCTTAGCAGGATTATGTGTAAGTATCGCTGACGAGTATAGAATAGAGAGAATGATTGCGTATTACTTCCTGGCCTTCAGTGTTTCTCTAGATTATATTGGTTGGTACAGAAAGTTATGGATAAAATTTGTTTCATTAAAGTATTGAGAAGTTGGACCGAATCTAATCACATAAATACTCGATAAAGTAATAATTGATAAGTCGATTAAAGGAACTCAAAAAGGTGAAACCACTCGCTTCTAAATCTACAAAACAACTTAAACATAAGAGAAAAGGTGCGAAATATGAAAAGAACGCTTTACTGTAAGATTAGTTTAAGTACATAAAAATGAGGGTGTTTATAGAGTTATTTATGACTTTGAGTTTGTGTTAGTTTTAAGAACCATACCTATTATAATAACGCTATAGCTTGATATCCAGTCAGATTCGTAGTATATGATTCTAAATATTTCTGAGAAGGTTCTATTGAGTGCTGATTGCACAAAACGTTTCTTGGTGTTTCTAGGCCTTTAGAGATTTTTACGATATATATATTACGACTGTCAACTTTCAACAATAAAAATCAGTATGGAATTGTGGAGATTGTTGAATTAAATCGTAATTACGAAATGATAGACTGCAAGGTAGTGAATGCTTTTCAGTTTGCGCCTAAGCTCACTCCACTCTTCATTGTGTTCAAAGTTAGATAGAATGAGTTTCTGAACATCTATCAGTTCAGTAGATGTTATTGAAATTCACTGTCTCTCCCTAACATTTTGATTTAACTTACTGATAGTAGATATCACTGCTGTATCCACAACTTTTTCAAGATCATTGCAAGCTGCTTCGGGGTGGGCATCACTTACATCGCTGCCTAACTGTTTTTCTAGTTAGGAAATGAGTTGGCATTTTTACGTCTCTGTGCTAATGTGGTATGGCTAGTTGAACTGATGTACGTTTCTCACAAAGTTCTAGCTGACTGACTTACTTAATGCTTACCGTTGAGGAATCCTATCATGGGGATAAACGATCATCCAATGATTCTGTGTTTTCACTGATTGTCTAGCTTTAGTCAGTTGGCAATTTCAATTAAATAATAATAATAAAGATTGATAAATATTTTTAAACGAAACTATCAAACCCTAGTGATAAAGTAAAACATATTTTAATATTGAAAACTTAATCGAAATGATCCGAACGCCCTAACTTTTTAAGCATCAAAAGACTAGTGTAAGTTGGTGTTCAAAACTCCAAATAGAGATAACTCGGATTCGTTGGCTAGACACAATCAGCAACAACCTACTGTGAGTGAGAACAAACCAAATTCCAGTGGAGGAAAAAATCAGGAAGAAGTGCCGGGAGTGGATAGGACACACATTGAGTAAAGTACCCAACTGCATCACAAGACAAGCCCTCACTTGGAACCCTCAAGGTCAAAAGAAAAAAGGAAGGCCAGAGAATACATTACGTTGAGAAATTGAAACAAACAAGTGGAAAGGGAGACTCAGGACAGAGTAAGATAGAGAATTTTGGTCGGTGGCCTTTGTTCCACTGAGAGTATCAGGCTTAAGTAGGTAAGTAATGCAACATTGACCAGAGAATTGATATTCTATATCTGACGGTTTGGCCTAATACTTACTAGCCCTAAACGTAGAGGAAGAACACAAATCAAATGAGACCACCAGTTCAATAGCAAGCTTGTTCATACATTCTTTTATATATGCGTGCGAAATTGAACTACATTACACTTATAAATAGAATATAACAATTATACATGAATAAGACAAAAGTTACTATGAGTATGACGAGACTGTGAATAATAAATTGCCAACTACTGAAGAAAATGAATGAGGTTGTACAGTAACTGGAATCGATTAAAGTTAGAGATTAAACATCATTAAATGCCTGCCAATCTAGTGGTCTATAGGTTAGGTGTCCGCGCGGAAATCCGAAGACCCCAGTTTCGAATCCTATGAGTAGCAGGAGTCGAGGATACTCACTGCTGTTGAGTCCCCTATATCAGGACGAAATAGTCATCCAGTGCTTGTGAGTTTCTAATGATTATTTTACAATGATTCATTCATGATATCAATGTATAAAACCATTGATCTCCACAACCCTAATTGAAAAATATAACCAATAAATTGACTTTCTGCTAACAGTAAAAGTTAAATGAAAAATTACCTTCTTTACGCATGCCAACTTGTAAACATTTTTGAAAACGACAATATTGACATTGATTACGATGATGTATATCAATAGGGCATTTTTGATTACCACGACATGTATAATTTAATTTACGTCTTACAGAACGTTTAAAAAAACTTTTACATCCTTCACATGTATGTTGACCATAATGTTTACCACTACTTTTATCCCCACATACAACACATTCGATTGTTTGATTTAATTTTAGTTGAAATTCCACATCATAATCATTTGATTGTTGTTGTTGCTGCTGCCGTGTCTCCTCCCCAACTGCCTCTTCCTCTTCTTCTTCGTCGAGTTCATCGTCCTCTTGATCGTCTGCTCTGATTACATAATCTTCATAATCATTACGATTGTAAGTGCTCTCACAATCGATTTGACGGATGTTTCTATTTGTGCATTGCTTATCACTGCTGCTGCTATTATTGTTAACATTAGCAGTTATCGAGTGTCTGTTTCGCTTTTTTATTGATTTAGCCAGTTTCAAAGATGTGCCACATTTCTCTGATTGTGAACATATCTTGTCGCTTAAATCCATAGACATGTTCATAGTATTGGTATTGTTAGGTTGAAAATTATGCTCCGCATTAAATTGTTTTGTAAAGTCAAGTTTTGAATACATTTGTTCAATATCAGTTGGGGATTGATGATTGAACATTGAATTGTTATCTTTCACATCATCATTGCAATTATCATCAGTGAAAAATATTTTCGTCGGTATTTTATATTCATAATCATGATTTGATTGTGCAGAAAGATGGTGAGCAAAATAATCTGACCATGATGAACTAGACTGTGTAGTCAGTTGATTGGAAGTATACTGTTGGTTATTATTGAATGGAAATTCTCTTTTACCTAATATACTACTCATTTTTGTACTTAAATTCATTGGTAATGGATTGAATGCAGAAGAAAGTCGTTTTTTATTCGATAAATTATTCTCTTTTGAATCATTTGGTGAAGAGTTGATTCTGTTAACCGATGTGGACACTGTCGACATCGTCGAGGGTAAGGAGGTCGGCGGTGATGCGAATGACGATGACGTTGAAGAAGTAGAAGAAAGTAATGTCTGTTTATCATGGTTTTCTGTTCCCCATAAATGTGGAAATAATAAATCCGGTGGTGGAGGTTGTACAAGTAAAATTGACGAAAAATCATCTTTTCTTAATCCATTCAATGTTGTCATAATGTAATGCAGTTGTTAAATGTTCAAATCATTCTATGAAATGTACATTGAATATTGTAATTGAACTGAACACACTCATGAAACTAATCGACATATACATAGGCGTTCATTGCATTCTCTTCCCACATCATTTTAATTTGGGATTTATAAAATAACATTCAACTTGATTGGATCGTGATCTTTGTGATAAAAAAAAGGCATAGAAGGGGTGAATCAGTGTGTTTTATGTGTGTGTGTGTGTGTGGGTGTGTCAGTGTTGTGTGACTGAACATTATCACCTAGTTGTTACATAATCTATTAATATTATATGCATTGTTACAGCACTTAACTGCGTACAAAGTGACCACTGGTTTTAAGTAAACACTATGACGATTAATATTACTACTACTATTATCATTAGTAGTAGTAATGGTTGGTATTTACACCCAATGATGACCTCTCAGAAAATGATAATCTCTCTCTTAATCAGTTCCATCGGTTTTGCTGACAAACAGATAATCAAGGATGGCAAAATGATTGCATAGAAAACTTCCAATCATATTGAAATTTTTGAAAGGTTAACATTTCTTAACCAAAGGGTTATTATTATTATTCATAAGGGTGAGATAGACAAGTCAGAAATTTCTCCACATAATACGTATAGATATATACATAGAGAGAGATAATGTTTGTATGTATTTCACTCTTCCTTCTGTCTCACTCTCCTCTATCCGTACATAATTATGTATTCAGATGTATGTACGATTATTGTGTCTCCCTTCCCATTTACCTTTCAGTCTATTTTTTGTTACCAAAACTACATACCAATTAAGATTCCATTAGTAATGAAAATAATAATTATTCGTAATTTTTCATTACGGGGTTGTGAAGATTGTTAAGTTACACATTTTTTGAAACCATGAATCGATCAATGTTAGACAAACCATTAGAAACCTAGAAGCACTGGACAGCCGTTTCGTCCTGGTATGGGAGTCCTCAGCAGTACGCATCCACGACTCTTGCAACCCTCAGGATTCGAACCCAGGACCTTCGGTATTGTGCGCGAACGCCTTAACCGTTAATTTTTCATCATAGGAACATGAAGATTGTTGAGTTCCATTGAAATCATGAATAGATCAATGTTAGACCGACATTAGAAAGTAACTTGAAAGCACTAGACAACCGTTTCGTCCTAGTATGGGACTCTTCAGTGGGATTACGCATCCACGATTCTCTCTACCTGCAGGAATCTTACCTAGGACTTTCGGTTTGGGGCTCGAACGCCTAACCTCTGGACCATTGGGCTGGCATCCAAAGGTGTTAATGTCTAACTCTGATCAATCTAGAGATTTTGTGCAACTTCACCCATGTGTCTTCTGTAGTTACTGCCTACACCTAACACGGTTGATGAACTCCACTGCTCACGTCTTCTCACTATAACTCAGAGAATTTCCTTAGGAAGCTAGTCACTAGTGAGTACATTGTAGGAATTATCATCACAGATTTATGGAAATTGTAGTTGATTACTGAAATCATGAATCAATCATTTTTCGATCATTATTCAAAATCTGAAAGCATTGGAAATCTGTTTCGTCATTGCCTGTGATTCATCAACAATGCGCACCCAGTGTGGTGAAGGCAAACACAGGTGAGGGCAACCGAATTGTGTCTACCTCAAATTACAGAGTTAATTGGTAAAATAGGAAAACCATGTAGTAAATCGTTAATTTGCAAAATATCAATCCATCATATCGAAATGGACTGTTCATGTTGCAAACATCTAATCCATTGTCTAACATTTCACTGTTCATGCGTTTCATACAAATCCCATTGTGTTCCCAACTCTTCCTTTCTTGATCTTCGCCCATCTTCTGCTGCCAGACATTACGTTGACACTCACGTCATATACTACTTATAAGTAGCACGCACCACACCAGGACCTTCCGTATCATGGCGGAGACCGCCTAATAAGCGAATCAAAATGGGATAGAAACCAAGCTCAATGTATAAACTTAGGCCAGCGTTGATACACTGGCTTTAATATCAAGTTAAAACGAAAAAAGGTTACAACCAGATCCAATTCAGTATGAAACTTGAGTTAAATTTTCAATATGTTATCAATTCATGAAGTTACTAGTTATTGGTGATCTGAATCATATTAGTTGAAATAAATTATCTGATTAGAATCGACGCTAGAACTGATCAGTGGCTGAAAACTGTCGATGATATAGCTCAGAATTGGGTTACACAAGCAAAGATGCATTCACTGACAAGCGGATTGGGTCATGTTGGTAAGTATAGATTACCTGGTTGGGGTATGTGAGACGATAGTAATCGATGGCAAAGACCTTGAATGACATGGCTCAAAATCGATTGCAATGACGCAGGTGCATCCATTCTTCGCGTTCTCTCAAATTATTACGTCTTAATTCCTCATCATCTCTATCTTTCTTTTTCTAACTTTATCTGACTGAATTATTATACCCTAATCTTCTCGATTACTGCTAATACTTCTACTATCGCTACCACTATGGGATTCGAACTGACAATTGCCTCTCTGTGCTAGTGTGGTATGGCATTGGTGAAATTTTAAATGTTAGAAACTTGAGAGGATTGGACGGTTGATTTGTTCGAATATGGGACACATAAGAATTGAGTATCCAATAACTCACACGAAGGAATTTACCTCAGGTATATAAGTCTCACGCATGAAGTCCTGACTTTTTGACTATTGAGTTATCATCCAATGATGTTAATGTTTGATTTTAATCAGTTTTCCATTGTTTTCGGCGGTTTACTATCTTATAAATGGACTGGGTTAAAAACTACACTGGTCGTGGCTTCTCATTAGGACTTCGGGAATTTCCTTAAGCAGCTAGTCAATAGTGAGTATATGATAATTATCAATTTGGCATTGCAGAGATTGTTGAGTTTCATTGAAATCATGGACTGATCAGAAAACACCGAGTACTGATATCCTGTTTACTTTCCGTTGATATCCCATGTTAACATTTAAGTAAATTATTATTTCCCGACCGTAGCTGCTACCTTGACGTGGTGGTTGGGCTTGCCTATCGTGATGAACCAACCGAGCTATACTGGCTGGAACATAGGTTCCTGGAGGTTCTTCCATGTCAAGCAGGTAGATTGGAGAACAGTGAGACTAAAAGCAGCTACTCAAAGTCTGGGGGCTAAGTCGTACTACTGACTTTGGAGGGATATGACAGCAGTAAGGTGTTTCCCTCCAGCATCTGCAGCAATGCTGCCTTCTCACAAGGAAGTTAGGGGTTAGAATAGGTCGACCGTAAAAATGTCACACCTCACCCTACCTCACGGATTTCCGTCTCCGTCGGTAAGGGTGCCCACTAAGAGCTTTCAAGAGCGGAGCTAATCCTCAAAAAACTTCTCATAAAAAGGCCGTGCGTGACCGGCCTCAAGCAGTTGTCCGTTGGGCTCTGCGGTCACGCTCCCAGGTCTCCAAGACCAACACTAATCTATCTTCCTTTTCAGGTCCCTCAAGAAACCTTCCACGGTTTGGGCAGCCAGGAAGTGACAACCGCCCTCATACCCGTAACAGAACAGGTGACCAAATTGGTCAAAATCAAATCCATCCTACACCCACACACACCTCTCTTCTCTCCACAATGAACTCTACTCTCAGTCCCTTTTCTCACTGCACCGCTAATGCAGACGAAGCGAGTTCACGAAACGTCATTCCTGGTCTCTTGAAATCCCGTTCTTTACTACATCTTCTACTACTGGATTTGAATTGACAATTATATCTCTGTGCTGATGTGGTATGGCAACATGAACTGATGTACTTACGTACAAAGTTCTATGTTGCATCTGACTGAAATTATTATATATCTTATTATTGAAGTGGAGTACTTGATTTTGAAACACATATTAAGTGTGTTTGTGTGTGTCAAGATGAATTGTCTTCTCAAATCGAAACTATGTAGTGTATAATTCGAACGTGCCTGTAATATGTGATGATATACTTACTTATGTCAGTTACAGCTAATGGAGCATAGGACACCGACCACCATTCTCCTGGGCCTTCTTATCGAATTCCGTTCTACTGTTATTCATTTCTTCTCATGTTTGATTCCATTTCTTGGCGTAATGTGTTACTTAGTCTTCCTTTTTTCCATTGGCATTAGGGATTTCAGGTGAGGGCTTATCTTGTGATGCGTTTGGATGCTTTCCTCAATATTTTACCCTATTCACTCCCAGTACTTTTTCCTGATTTCTGTCGTACTGGAATCTAGTTTGTTCTCACTCATAGTAGGTTGTGGTTGATAGTGTCTGGTCAGCGAATCCAAAGTATTTTGTGTAGACAACTGTTAACGAACACTCTAAGTTTCTGGATGATGTCTTTCGCAGTTCTCCGCTCTAGACAGTAGAACTATCTTGACATTTGTATTGAAAATTCTGAATTTGGTATTGATTGATAGTTGTTTTGAGTTACAGATGCTCTTTAATTGTAAAAAGGCTCTCCTTGCCTCACCGTTTCGCGCCTTCACATCAGATCCACCTTGTTCATCAATATTAACACCGTTGGATGTTGGCCCAATGGTCCGATGGTTAGGCGTTCGCGCACAATACCGAAGGTCACGGGTTCGAATCCTGTGAGGTGCATGAGTCGTGGATACGCACTGCCACTGATGAGTCCCATACCAGGACGAAACGGCTTCCAGGTTTCTGATGGTGGTCTATCAATGATTGATTGATGATTTCAAATGTGTAAAACACAAAACCTCCAAAACTCTGCCCGAAAATACTATATTATAACCTGAAGTCTATTTAGAAGCCATCAGCATAGGATGCACATATGCCAAGCTGACTGACCAACTGAAGTCCTAAACATCAATCGGAACATTCAGACAACCAGTATAACTCAACCAATTAATCCCTATAAACACTTGTCACTACTAGTTCACACAAACTAGGATATAACACCTAGTTATGAAAAAAAGTATTTTAAACCTTTAAATATATATATATATATATATATATAT